TAACTCAAGAAAACTTGGTTAACTTGGTTCCTTTTAAAAAAACATACTAACATTGGCACTGGGAAAGAGAAAGGATCCTTTATTTTAAGTTAACTTTGTTAAGGCCAAACTGTGATGGTGGTTGAATAAAAAAGAGAGCCAGTTCTTCACTCCTCACCCACATCACGGTAAATTGAGGATCCATGCCTGGTGACTGCTCATAACCCTTTACAGATGATCACATACTCACTGAATTGAAAAAGCATAACTTTTTAAAAGTTCTAACTCTGATAACAACCGTGAGTGAGAAGACAGGAACTTATTCATTCCTTCAGATTTGACGCTAACATAATGCAGTCCAGGACCTAATCACTCACTGTATAAACATTTTTCTTCACATCACTTCTTTTGCCTATCAACTTAAATTTGTGTCTGTGGTCTGCTGTCCTTCTGCCACTGGGACATTTTTTTCCCCATCTACTGTCCCAGACCACTCATCATTTTGAACATCCCATGTAGGGGATACATATTTTCTTGTCCCAAATTAGGTTAGCTCATTCCTCCATTCTGTCCACATAACTGAAGTTCTTCATCTCAGGTCTCTTGACGAGGAGCAACAGAGGCAATAGTGGAGAAAGCAGCAGCTGGGCTAATTTCCGTCCAGTTTCTCTCTGCCTTCCTTTTGAATTCGGTTGTAGAGTTGAATTCAAAGAGATCAGCAAAGAAAAGTAGAGCATTGAGTCATTCATGGTGTAGGTGGACAATATTAAGGTCCTACATTAGGATTACCATTCTATCGTACTTTCTGACATGACATTAAATATGGCAGCAAAAGTCAAGGAATTATGTAAAAATATGGAATGCAGTTCAGTGGGAAAACCTAATAACCTGAACCGAATGTTTTTAATGACATAGCAGGTTTTGGGTTCCCTCTGGACCTTTACGCTAAGTCATTAATAATCACTTTCATGAAAAGTTTAATCATCTAAATGAAAACTGAGGGTCTTGTGGAACAGTTGTAATGATCCTATCCGTAGACCAGAATCTAGGTTCAAGTCCCACCTACCTCTGAGGTATATCATGTCTGAACAGTTTGATTAACATAACTATAAATGAAAACTAATTGTGAACTATCTTGAAGAGAGTTGAAAAATGACTGATACATTGAGAATCAGTGGAGAGAGAAATCAAGTTACGCTTCATGCTTTTGAAAGTCGTTAACTTGAATTATTAATTCTTTCTCCTTCTCCATAGCTGCTGATTGACCTATTGAGTATTTCTGTTCTTATTTCAGACTGGAGGCCTGTGATCAGAGGTGTGCCACAAGGATTGGTGCTGGGTCCACTGCTTTTTGTCATTTATATAAATGTGAACATAGGAGGTATGGTTAGTAAGTTTGTAGATGACACTAAAATTGGAGATGCAGTGGACAGCAAAGAAGGTTACCTCAGAGTACAATGGGATCTTGATCAGATGGGTCAATGGGCTGAGGAGTGGCCAATGAAGTTTAATTTAGTTAAATGTGAGGTGCTGCATTTTGGAAAGGCAAATCAGGGCAGAACTTATACACTTAGAGGTAAGGTCCTGGGGAGTGTTGCTGAACAAAGAGACTTTGGAGTGTAGGTTCATAGTTCCTTGAAAGTGGAGTCGCAGGTAGATAGGATAGTGAAGAATGCCTTCCTTTATTGGTCAGTACATTGAGTATAGGGTTGGGAGGTCATGTTGCAGCTGTACAGGATATTGGTTAGGCCACTTTTGGAATACTGCATGCAGTTCTGGTCTCCTTGTTATAGGAAGGATGTTGTGAAACTTGAAAGGGTTCAGAAAAGATTTACAAGGATGTTGCCAGGATGGAGGGTTTGAGCTATAGGGGCAGGCTGAATAGACTGGGGCTGTTTTCCCATTGAAGGCATAAGGGGTGACCTTACAGAGGTTTATAAAATCATGAGGGTCATGGATAGGGTAAACAGGCAAGGTCTTTACCCAGGGTGGGGGAGTCTAAAATTAGATGGCATAGGTTTAAGGTGAGAGGGGAAAGGTATAAAAGGGACCTAAGGTGCAAATTTTTCACGCAGAGGGTGGTGCGTGTATTGAATGAGCTGCCAGAAAAAATGGTGAAAGCTGGTACAATTATAACATTTAAAAGGCATCTGGATGAGTATATGAAAAGGAAGGGTTTAGAGGGATCTGGGCCAAATGCTGGCAAATGGGACTAGATTTAAATAGAATATCTGGTCGGCATGGACAAGTTAGACCGAAGGATCTGTTTCCATGCTGTATATCTCTATGAGTCTATGACTCTATTTCAAAGTTCCAGCATCTGCAGTATTTTGGTTTTGGATTGATTTATAGAGATTGGATCAAATTTACGAATAAACAACTAACTTGCCACTTTGCAGAGTGAATCATTGGTTATCTTACGAGTTTCTTTTTGCAGGTGTATGCAGACTTTTCCCTGTATCAATGAAGAATGTAAATCTTGATATAAACATTGACCTGAAAAAAAAAGAGCCTGACTTAAGAGAGCTTTTTTGAGAGCCGTGTGACAACCAGCTTCAGTCATGAGTCAAAGCGTGACTAATTCTAAAGGGTGGCAGATACACGGGAACACCACTACCTCCAAGTTCCCCTCCAAACCACACACCATCCTGACTTAAAAATATATCTGGAAGTAGTAATGTGGGTTTTGGTCAATATTTACTTATGTGGATGTAGACATTCCATGTCTTAATGGAGAGGATTTAGTGTAAGAAGTCCAGACTAAGATCAAATTGGACACTGATGGAGGATGATGGCATCACTTACAAGAGGGTGGAAGCGTTGGAAAAGGTGCAGAGGAGATTTACCAGGATGTTGCCTGGAATGGAGGGAAGGCCATACGAGGAAAGGTTGAGAGAGCTAGGGCTTTTCTCTTTAGAATGACGAAGGATGAGAGGTGACTTGATAGAGGTGTACAAAATGATCAGAAGTATAGATAGAGTGGACAACCAGAGACTTTTTCCTAGGGTGGAAGTAGCTGTTACGAGGGGGCATAGTTTTAAAGTGAGTGGAGATAGATATAGGGGAGACGTCAGAGGTAGGTTCTTTACTCGGAGAGTGGTAGGGGCGTGGAATGCATTGCTACAGAGGGTAGTGAAGTCGGCCTCATTAGGAGCATTTAAGCGGCTATTAGATAGGCATATGGATGATAGTATAAGGTAGGGTTAGAGGTTAGATAGACCTTAGGTTTAGGGTAAAAGTTCGGCACAACATTGTGGGCCGAAGGGCCTGTACTGTGCTGTACAGTTCTATGTTCTATGTAAGAGTATGGAGTTTGTAATAGGAGCCAAAGACAATGGTTTTCATTTTCCTAACATTGAACTGGAAATAACTGCAGTTCAAAACTGGATATTATTAGTTTATATGTAGATACTGACACTCTAACCAACCCATGGCTGTGGCTAAGATTGCTAAAGAGCAGACTGAAGGGATGGCAATACATTTCCACGTCAGCATGAGGTGAGTTTGGAAGGTGCTGGCTAAGAGTCTTAGAGAATTACTGCAATGCAACATGTAGATGGTATACATTGTGGCTACTGAGTGTTGGTGGTGGAGGAAGGCAAGATTTAAAATCCTGAGAGGTCTTGACTTGGTTGATATTGAAAAGATGTTTCCTCTTGTGGAAGAGTCTAGAATTAAAGGTCACTATTTAAAAATAAGGGGTCACCCATTTGAGACTAAAGAAACGGAATCTATTCCTGGAAATGCTCTCCAATCGTATAGGAAGGTTAGAATCGTGCCAAGGTAATCCCATCAAGCTGGGCAGTTGACAAGAAGCACAAAAGAGTTACTTTTTAAAATTAAAAATGAAAGTTTGTATTTAAAATATTTAAATTAGCATACCTTTAAACAGGTAGTTCCTTAATGTCTGGCTATCATGGGCTTCAGGATAATGCTACATTTTTGGAGTTCTTTGTGATGTGACCCTAAGTAGAGGAAAAACTGTCTGCTTTTTAGTACACCGTAGTCCAACTGGAGAATAGAGCTGCTCTTTCAATTGAAACAACTGGTCATGGTTTAACCTGAGGGTCACCACGCCCAAGGCGAGGGGAGAGTCCTTCATGGTAAACTAAGCCCATGCAGGAAGTGAACCCCACTGTTGGCATCACTCTGCATCAAAAACCAGCCATCTCGCCAACTAATCTAACCGATCTCCCTATCTGCCCATACCCTATTGCTAAACATAATATCCCATGCCATATTTAATGAAGAACAGCCAACATAGAGGTGACAGCCCCGTGGTATTATACATGGACTGTTAATCCAGAGATCCAGTTAATGTTCTGGGGACCCAGGATTGAATCCTGCCATGGCAGATGGTGGAATTTGAATCCAGTTTTTAAAAATCTGGAATTAGGAGTCTAATGATGATTATGAATCCATTGTCGATTGCTGGTTCACTTATGTCCTTTAGGGAAGGAAACTGCCATTTTTACCTGGTCTGGACTACACCTAACGCCAGACTCACAGTAATGCGGTCAACTCTTAACTGCCCTCTGGGAAATTAGGGATGGGCAATAAATGCTGGCCTAGACAGCGACGCCCTCATCCTGTAGATAAAATAAAAAAATCTCTTGACCAACTATTCCTCCCTAAAATAAAATTACCTACAGCACACTGAATTGCCATTACTCTCCTTTTGGTTTGCGAAACCTCCAGAGAATTGACTCTAGTCTTTGTCATTTCTTGAGGGTGCAGCTACTTTTGGGGAAGTTGGCGTATTTTGGCCAATACTCTTTGCCCTTATACAGTCGGTGGGATCTTCTTGAACTGCTGCAGCCCTCAAGATGACGGTGCTGTCAAATTTGGGATTCTCAGCAATTTTGACCCGGCCACACCCCTGCTTCAGAAATGTTTTAGATTCTGTCTTAATATTAAGTCGCTGCTTTGTCAATAGAACCACTTCCAATCAGACCAACGGCCTGCGTTAAAGCGCCTGCGCAGTAACCCCAGTCGCGCCGTCCCTGACGGGAAGATGACGTGAGTGGAGGGCCGCGTGAAACCGGCGTGTGACGTCAGGGGCGTGTGCGTAGTGCTCGTGAACCGGTGACGTCGGTAAGGTGAACATTGGGAAGATGGCGTCGTCAGTGTTGTGCTGCTTGAGATGGTGTGGAGATGGAGGCTCTGGACACATTCAGTTGAAAGAAATGCCCGCCGTCCAATTAGACACGCAGCACATGGGTAAGTTAGCAAGCGGACAGATTTAACACCCATGATTAGCGTTCACCTCAGAATGCCAGTTACTTCCTTGATGTCAACACCCCCCTCCTCACAAACTGGGTGTCAGCCACTCAATTTGTTTGAAGATGAGGATGCATATTCAGTGCACACCATCTAAAGTTAAACACATCTACAGTTCTTCACATACGTATAGCAGCCCACTCCTTAGACGCTGTTGTGATGCACGAATGACCCTTCGGCTTGTGACTTGTTTTAACTTACACTGTAGTGTATTCACTGAATACTTCTATTTAGCAATGATATTGTTCATTGGAGTCTCCTGCGGTTTCTAACTAACTAGAATCGTAATTTCCCAATTTTAAACATACGCGTCTAACTTGAATCATTGACTCAGTAACGCTAATCTCAAAATCTCAATGTTAGTAGCACAACGTATGGCTAGTTTTCTGCTATTGGGCGATATTAGATATCGTAGCATCAGATGATGAACATTGTGATAGTGTTTTTAAGTTGTGGCATTAGGAAGTGTCATTAGACGTTCTGATACTACGTGGTGTTGATAGGCGTGTGGTACCAGTGTACCAATAGGCATTCAGATACAAAGCAATACCGATTAATAGTATTTATTTGTTAAATAATTATTTATTTGAAATGTAGAAAAGGTAACAGCGGAAGAAAAATAATTGCAGTATCATGTTATGATCTTGAGAGACTGATAAGTTAAAATCAAAATTGTAACTCCTGAGTAATGAATTAAAGTATTAGACAAGATTTCACATTTTAAATAAAAACAACAAAGTACGCACTACTAATTCAATGCTATGTTTTGTAAACCCTCATTCCTTAATCCCAAAAGTCTATTTTATTTCCATCAAAGACTTCCCTTTACACCTCAGGCCCTTAAAGATTCCTTTCTTTTGGGACCAAACTGAAGAACATCACTACTCTTAGGAATTTGCTTTCATGTCCCTCCATGATCTTGCTGTTCTCCGACTTTGAGTCTTTTTAGGGGTCTTTCCATTAGCATTCAACCAGGTGAACCTCCACTTCTCATTGAGAACCTCAGGATTGTAAACACTGCAGCTCAAGGAAGAGTTTCACTGCTCTCTTGCTCAGTGACTTCAAAATAAAAAAAAATCTTTTCCATTAGCTCAATATTACTGGTCTCTGCTACCCAAGCACCCAATGCTGTCAACTTTCTCTCTCTTATTTTACTTGTGTCTGAGGGAAAATAAACAGACAAAGCAAACACAGACTACCTCTGTAACCTATCCCCATTGTAATTTACCTGACACCCCTTTGTCCCAGATGGAGGTGCAAACTAGTTAACTAACTTCCCAGACATGGTTTTTGATCTAACAAGTACGTGGATACTTTAAGACCATCTCCTGTTTACTGGTTGCTTTTCCACTTTTGTTTTGGTCTATGAAACGGTAAATAATTTGTTTGTCTAAGAAAGACAGGGCAGTTCTTCTCAGGCTTGCTGTCTTTGGTTCTCCATCTGAAGAGGCCCATCTGTTTTAGGCTCTCAGCATTTTAATGTTGATCTTTTAGAATTAGAATTATTGTTGTTTGTAAATAAAAATACAATGAAAAGTGTTTTCTCACATGCAAAACGCAGTGTTGCCACGCTCTGCTGCTGTCTCAAAACACTGAATGTAATGCAAGATTTTATTGCAGTGTTCATCTTTCCCTCCTCCTCTTGTTACCCTCTGCTACTCCTCCGTTCGCTGCTTGACATCAGCTGGGTCTCTGTAATGGACCCACCTCTGCCGTCACTGCCAGTCCTGTAACTGCCACGTCCGAACCGGAGTCATAGGCCTGGTCTCATAGCTCACAGAAAGATCCATGCTATGTAAATACCTTGAGTGTTCTGACACCTTCCTGAATTCCAGAGTTTCAATTACTTTGTATTTAAAAAATAAATTTTCCTCAAAAAGAAAATGTTATATTCCTACAACACGTGAATCATGAAATTAGACATTTTCACAACATATGGTTCATAATCATTATAACATCATGGATGATGTATATCAACCATGTTATTAACAGTGATTCCAGACACTTCCCTAATGCTGTGATTCAATTTAAAAATATGTAGAGGCTTTAGGAAGAAAGGCTTTGCGGCATTAGGCCTAGCCTTCTCTTCCAGCTGTCTCTCTTTCACATGATCAAATAGCTACAGTCACATTTATCCATCATAATATAATCTCTCATACCCTTTTTATTCTACATCAGAAACAAACCCTCTGAGTTTCACAGCCTCACCTTAGTGCCTTCTCCTGTTCTACGCTGTGAGCATTTTAATGTTTCAATTTCCTTCATCTTAACTGTACAGTTACTACTTATTTCTATGGAAGTATCCATACTTTGCTGCATTATGTGCATTTTTAAGCCAAAATAAGTTCTAGTTTTCAATCCTTCATGTTTCCTCATTACTAGACACATCCGAATTAATCTAAGGCTCAAGTGCTGTGGGAACACAAGTATTATTACAACTTACACTTCATAAACTTTATAACAATTGTAATTGTCATTTGTTACGTATAACTGAGAGCGTAGACAAAGAATATTCATATTTTACAACTCAATTGTACAATGCTAAGGAATCATTATGTTGAAAGGGAGCATTCTTGTTGTGGCTCAGTTTGTTAATTAAACACTGTGGTACCACTCGGAGACAAGATTTAGAATAAAGGATTAAAGGAAAATGTTAAACATGTCACCTGTTGGTGTTGCATAATTATATATATGTTAATTTTATGTAATAGATGAATCATAAAAAGCTGGAATACAAGTTCAGCAGGTAAAAGGGAAAGCAATTGGAATGCTAGCCTTTATTTCAAAAGGAATGGAGTATAAAAGTAGGGAGGTTTCACTAAAACTATACAAGGCATTAGTCAGACCATAGTTGGAATATTGTGAACAGTTTTTGGCCCCATTTCTTAGGTAAGATATACCGGCGTTGGAAGTAGTACAGAGAAGGTTGACTAAGCTGAAACTAAGTATGGAAGGACTGTCTTACGAGACAGAGTGAATAGACTGGGCCTGTAATCATTAGAATTTAGAAGAATGACCTTATTGAAACATACAGGATTCCTTAGGGGTTTCACAGGTTAGATGCAGAAAGATGGTTTCCGCTTGTTGGAGTGTCTGCGACCTGAGGGCATAATCTCAGAGTAAAGGGTCACATATTTAAGACAGATGAGGAGGAATTTCTTCTCTGAAGATAGTGAATCAGTGAAATTCTTTACCACAGAGGGCTGTCGAGGCTGGGTGGTTAAGTAGACACAAGGTTGAGATAGGCAGATTTTTAATCAGTGAGGAAATCAAGGATTATACTAAAAAGGCAGGAACGTGAGTTGAGGATTATTCAACCAGCCATGCCCTTAATGATGGAGCAGACTCTGTAAACTGAATGGATCACTTCTGCTCCTATATCTTGTAATCTTATGAGAGCTGATGAAACACTGGATTTTACGACACTAGATGGACTTTATCAGTGCAGTCGTGCTGCTTCTAATGAAAAATGCACTGATGTTTCTACAATTAACCAGTAAAGTAATTAGAGGACTTTGACATTGTTGATGGAAACAATACAATCACATAGTTTTTAGCCAGACCTGGCGAGGAGCATTTGCACCTTTTGGCTGATCAGCTACAAAAAGCCAAAAAGGTTTAATTTTGGCCACAAGTGAATTTAGAAAGGCCAAGGTGACTTATCTGGGCCATACCATGGGACAAGGTCAGTTCACACCTAGAGAAGCAAACAGGTCACTTTGGATTTTCCTGGACCTAAGATGAAAGGTGAAATTTTACATTATGTTGGCATGAGTGGATTCTATCACTGTTGTTGCACCCTTAAACTTGTTGTAAAAGGCTGAAAGTTTGAATGAATACAAGAGTGTCAAAGTTGTCTATGAAAATTTGAATGCTGTACTGCCAACAGCACTAGTTGTAACTGGCTGAATTATGCAAAGCTATTCAAACCGGCTGTTGAAGGCAGAGACATCTTTTTAGGGACTATTTTATTGCAAGTTAATGATTTGGGGGTGGAACAGTTAATCAGTTAATTTACAAAAAATTGCATATCAACAAAAATTTAACCATTATTAAAGAGATGTTGAGTCTTTACTGGCTGTGCATCACTTTGAAATACACATCTGCAACAACATGGAAGAAGAAACTTATTTACATGGACCACAATCCTTTGATTTTCTTAGGAAAAATTTCAGTACAAGAATTTACGATTATTTCAATGGAGCTCAATATTCCAAACATATAATTTGAAAACCATTACAAGACTGGAAAAGAAAGTGTAATCACGGATGCTTTATTTATTGTGTGATGAGTAAAAACATACTTGTGTGCTTTGGTGTATATTTAATGTTAAAACACAATTATTGTAAATATTACATAGAACTCATGAAATGACTATTGGTGAATAATGAAAATGCCCCGAAGATACATTTTCACTGTTCTTTGGGGTGGAAGGTATGAAGTAAATGGTGTGATCTATATATATTTAGTATCATTTATTTGGGTTCTTGGACTGTGGGTTAGTGAGGTACTTGAGGTTTTCTGTGTAACTGCAGTTAATTAACTTGAAAGTATTTCTGTAGCCATGGTGATTTCTTTTAAAAACAGGTTTTAAAGCCTAGCTTTAGTATTGATTTTTTTTGTGTAGAATGCTTTGGTTTTACAACTGAACAAGACAAACGAGATGCAGTTTAGAAGGTCAGGAGAATTTTTAAGCTCAAGAAAACACCCAAACTTAAGAGATTTTTTTCTTTTAGTTTTGCGCCCAGTTTTAAGCAGACATGAAGTTTTTTTTATTCATTTTGTGGGCTCTGGGCGTTGCTGGCTGGCCAGCATTTATTGCCCATCCCTAGTTGCCATTGAAGGTGGTGGTGAGCTGCCTTGAAGCGCTGCATCCACCTGCTGTGGGTCCTGCCACAATGCCATTAGGGAGGAAATTCCAGGATTTTGACCCAGCAACAGTGAAGGAACGGCAATATAATTCCAAGTCAGGGTGTTCAGTGGCTTGGAGAGGAACTTGAAGGTGGTGTTCCCATATATCTGCTGCCCTTGTCCTTGGAAGTGATTGTGGGTTTGGAAGGTGCTGTCTGAGGATCTTTGGTGAATTTCTGCAGTGCATCTTGTAAATAGTACACATTGCTGCTACTGAGCATCGGTGGTGGAGAGAGTGGATGGTTGTGGATGTAGTGCCAATCAAGTGGGCTGCTTTGTCCTGGATGGTGTCAAGCTTGAGTGTCATTGGAGCTGCACTCATCCAGGCAAGTGGTGAGTATTCCATCACCCTCCTGACTTGTGCCTTGTAGATGGTGGACAAGCTTTGAGGAGTCAGGAGGTGAGTTACTTGCCACAGTATTCCTAGCCTCGGACCTGCTCTTGTAGCCACTATGTTTATGTGGTGAGTCCAGTTGAGTTTCTGGTCAATGATAACTCCCATAATTTTGAGCAGGCGACACAGTGATGGTAACACTATTGAATGTCAAAGGGCAGTGATTAGATTGTCTGTTATTAGAGGTAGTCATTGCCTGGCATGTGTAACATGAATGTTACTTGCCAATTGTCAGCCCAAACCTGGATATTGTCCAGATCTTGTTGCATTGGGACATAGACTGCTTTAGTTTCTGAGGAGTCATAAATGGTGCTGAACGTAGTGCAATCAGCAGTGAAGATCCCCACTTCTGACCTTATGATGGAAGGAAGGTCATTGATGAAGCAGCTGAAGATGGTTGGACCGAGGACACTACCCTGAGGAACTCCTGCAGACATGTCCTGGAGCTGAGATGATTGACCTCCAACAACCACAACCATCTTCCTATGTGTCAGGTATGACTCTAATCACCAGAGACATTGCCCCTGATACCCATTGATTCCAGTTTTTCCAGGGCTCCTTAATGCCACACTTGGTCAAATGCAGCCTTGATGTTAAGGGCTGTCACACTCACCTCATCTCCCCTTTAAAATTCAGTTCTTTTGTCCATGTTTGAATCAAGGCTATAATGCGACCAGGAGCTGAGTGGCCCTGGCAGAACCCAAACTGGGTGTCACTGAGCATGTGCTTGCTGAGCAGGTGCTGCTTGATAGTACTGTTGATGATAGCTACCATCACTTTACTGATGATTTGATAGGACACTGATGGGGTGGTAATTGGCCGGTTGGATTTGTCCTGCTTTTTATTACAGGACATACTTGTGCAATTTTCCATATTGCCAGGTATATGCCAGTGTTGTAACTGTACTGGAACATCTTGGCTAGGGGAGCGGCAAGTTTTGGAAGACAAGTCTTCAGTACTGTTGCTGGAATGTTGTCAGGGTCTGTAGCCTTTGAAGTATCCAGTGTCTCCAACCATGGACTGAATCAAATTGGCTGAAGACTGGTATCTGTAATGCTGGGGACCTCTCGAGGAGGTTGAGATGGATCATCCATTTGGCACTTCTGACTGAAGAGTACTGTGAAAGCTTCAGCCTTATCTTTTGATGTGCTGGGCACCTCCATCATTGAGGATGGGGAGATTTGTAAAGCCTTCTACTCCTGTGAGCTGTTTAATCATCCATCACCATTCATGATTGGATATGACAAGTCTGCAGAGCTTACATCTGATCCATTGGTTGTGGGGTCACTTAGCTGTGTCTATCACTTGCTGCTTCTGTTGTTTGGCAGGGAAATTCCTGACTGTGTACCACTGTGCCACCACCTCTGCTGGGTCTGTCCTGCCGGATGGAACAGGACATATCCGGGATGTTGATGATGGTGTCTGGGACATAGTCATACACTTGGAATCATAGCTTAAGACAATATCAGGATGTTGCTTGACTAGTCTGTGAGAGAGCTCTCCCAATTTTGGCACTAGTCCCCAGATGTTGGTAAGGAAGACTTTGCAGGGTTGACAGGGCTGTTTCTGCTGTTGTCCTTTTGGTGCCTAGGTCAATGCCAGGTGATCGATCTGATTTCTTTTCATTGAGACTTTGTAGTCTTTGGTCCAACTGACGGCTTGCTTGGCCATTTTGGAGGGCAGTTGAGAGTCAACGACATTGCTGTGGGTCTGGAAACACATGTAAGCCAGACCAGGTGAGGACGGCAGATTCCTTCCTTGAAAGACGTTAGTGAACCAGTTTTTTTTTCCCCAACAATCGACATTGGTTTCATGGTAATTAGTAGATTCCTAATTCCAGATTTTTTTAAATATTGAATTTACATTCCACCATCTGCTGTGGTGGGATTTGAACCCAAGTCCCCAGATTAATAGTCTAGCAATAGTACCACTAGGCCATCACTTGAGTGAACATAGTGCTCCTGAGAAGGAAAGGATAGAGTGAAACTAAATCATCTTTAAGAGCTAGTGTTAGTCCTAGACCTGGACTTGAAGTGTGGAATAAAACCCTGAAGAAGTTACTTAAAGCTGAGTTCATTTAAGATCAGGTGTATAGTAACTTAAGGAGGAGCTATCTGCAGTTCCAGCCTACAAGTTAAAGGCCACATTTGTTGATACCACCATATGCATGCTATGTACCACTTAAATGCATGCATATTTGGGGAAAGGGAAATCACGTCATCACTTGCTCTTCCTTCTCCCCCGAACGTACATCCTAACTCCACATCGCTGAACCCTGTATCAAAATCTTGCTTCTCTGTTCATACACAGTGCAGGATTTGTGTATGACAACATCTGACATTTACACAATGACTTAAGGGGTTTTGGAAGCGGGAGTATCCACGTTTCTGGATCAGCACACATGCGTAGTTGCCCATAATTGTCAGTGTCAGCAGGCTCTGCCCAAGTTGAAACGTCAAGTGTCTTTAACCATTTGAGGTGTTAGAGATAGGGACTCTGCTGTGAAGATTGTATGACTTGAGATTTTGCGTACTGTATTGGGGTTGGTTTTAGATATTTTACAAAAGCTGTTTTGTTTCATTTCAATTTATAAAGGGGTGTTATGGGATTATAATTTTATTGTTTCAAAAATATTTGAATTTTTGTTAGTAGATAATTTAGCTTATTCTATTTTTAATCTTCATTTCTTTTGTTAATTTTGTGTTTTATTGTTAAATCAAAATCTGTAGCAGTGTGTGCTTATGTTTCAGCAAGAGACTATTTGTCCACTAATAACATCAGCTGGGATTGCAACACAGTAGCCTTGGGGTTAACATTGACCGGAAACTGAATTGGACTAGCCATATAAATACTGCCAAAGCAGGTGAGAGGCTAGGGATCCTTCAGCAAGTAACTCACCTGTCTCCTCAGAGTGTGTACACCATCCACAAGGGCACAAGTCAGGAATGTGATGTAACAGTCCCCATTTTCTTGGATGAATGCAGCTCCAACAGCACATGAAAAGCTTGACACTGTCCAGGATAAAGAAGCCACCACTGACTGACACTCAGTAGCAGCAGTGTGTACATTTTGGAAAATGTAGTTCAGAAATTCACCAATGTCCAAACCCATGGAGCTCCAATATCCAGAAAGACAAGGGCAGCAGATACAGGGGAACGTCACCACTTGCAAGTTCCCCTTCAAGCCATTCATCATCCTTATTTCCAAATAACATATTTGGAAAAGTCCTTTCCTAATAGTACTGTGGGCCTACCTACACCGAATGGACTGCAGCTATTCAAGAAGGCAGTTCACCACAACCTTCTCCAGGGCAACTAGGGATGGGCAAAAATTCCTGGACTAGCCAGCGACATCCCATTGATGGATTTAAAAATAGATAGGTTAAGTTGGCAAAAAGAGAGAAGGGAAAGAGGTGGTCATTCACTTTGGTAATAAGAGTGGAAAAAGTGGACTTGCAAATGGTGAGAAACTATAACATGTTGCTATTCAGAAGGATTTGGAAATCATTGTATTGGAAAAAGAGGCAATTGTACAGGGCTTTGGTAAGGTCACCCTGAATTACTGTGCACAGTTTTGGTTCCATACGTGAGGAGGGATATGGTTGCCTTAAAAGATATGCAACAGAAAAGTTTGCTAGATTGATTGCTGGGGTGAGAAGTTCAGTTTATGAAGAGAGACTTAGTAGAGTGGGTCTAAACTTTGGAATTTAGAAAAACGAGAGGTGATATAATTTAAATAACGTTATCTCTAGGACTAGTTTCAGAATAAAGGGGGGTAGCTTAAAGTTTTGGCAAAGATCTATAGCTCGGGTTGTGGGTGAGGTTGATGACTAGCTTGCCGAGCTGGCTTGTTTTCATTCAGATGTTTTGTCACCATGCTAGGTGACATCATCAATTGAACCTCCAATGAAGCTTCATCAGAGGCTCCACTGATGTCACCTAGCATGGTGATGAAACATCTGAACGAAAACAAGCCAGCTCGGTGAGCAAGTCAACAACCTAGGGGGGTAGCTGTTTTGGACTGAGGTAAGCATAAATTTCTTCCTTCGGGGGTTGTGATTCTTTGGAACTCTGTACAGAAAGGCTTTAAATATATTTAAGTCGATGGTAGCTGTGAATAGTATGGGAAAAAATTTCTAGTAAAATGAAATTGAGGTCAACAATCAGCCATTATCTTAATGGTAGTGGAGGTTTGAGGAGCTAACTGATCTAACCTGCTTGCATTTCATAGGAGTTCTTTCGAATTTGCTGCCAATATTTAGCCTTTATCCAACACTTTTTAGAATATAACTACATTAGTAATGCATGGCAGTATACAAGTGCAAGACTTCCTTTGCCTTTGAGCAAAGATCAAGATTTGCTATAGCCCACGAGTTTACTTTTAAAAATTTGTTCAGATTATTAGTTTTGTCTATCTTCATAGGAACCGATGTCGTTATTGTGAAAAACGGGAGAAGAATATGTGGCACAGGAGGCTGCTTGGCCAACGCACCTTTGCATCAGAACAAAAGTTACTTTGAATTCAAAGTCCAGTCAACGGGTCAGTAAAATGCTAGAGCAAGGGTGGCTCTACTGTATTACTTTAATGGCAGTTTTGTGTCACTTATGATCTAACCTTCATATTTTCCCACTGCCAAGAGTCATCATTCCGCTATCCCACCTGTAGTATATGTTTTCTAAGCTGGAACCAAAATAAAGTCTTAACTGGAATATAAGATGGCATTTAGTATGGTAATATTTCAGTTTTAAAAGAAACCAGTACTATTTTGACTCTAGCATCTGATGGATTTCTTCCACGTGGTTTACACCCAACCATCATCCTTTAGTTGTGTTAGCCATGTGATTATGTAGGGAATTCTACTGCACAAACTTATTTTTCTATTGAACCCCTTTCTTTAATCACCTCTTCCGATTACCTTTCTATGAAGCATCTTGAGATCGTTAGTTTTTTTTTCCCATGCTAAACATTGCTTCATAAATGTAAGCAAGTTCTGGAAGGAAATTCCCTTTTTATGTTGTCTTTCAAAACAAAAACTAGGCAACCTTGATAACAAATTTCCACACACCCATGCACCCTTGTATGTATGTTTTACTCCCTTTAGTAAACTTTCCCCAGACTATGCTGTTGTAAAGTCCATCCACTAAGTGAGCAAGCAGCCCAGAGTGCTGACTTTATTTCCCCTCTGTGCATTTGTGGAATATTAGTGTTCCCAGACTTGATTTTCTGCTTTTCCCTAATAAATTGGATGAAACAATGAACAAAATAGTGCAGGCTATTCTAAGTGTCAGCCCACACATAACCATCTGGCATAATATTTTGGTATGTCAGTGTTGTTTATTGCTTTTTTTTCCCCCCAGAAAATCCTTGTTACAAGTAGAATATTGTATTTCTTAAATTTTTTGGATTATGAATCAGGTTGTGATGTGTTAAGGTACTAAATTTTCCAAGGATGTTTTTCAATCACACTATGCTTTAAAGCGGCTTATAAAATCATGAGGGGGCATGGATAGTGTGAATAACCAAGGTCTTTTCCTCAGGCTGGGGAGTCCAAAACTAAAGGGCAAGGATTTAAGATGAGAGGGGAAAGACTTGAAAGGGATCTAAGGAGCAACTTTTTCACACAGAGGGTGATGCGTGTATGGAACAAGCTGCCAGAGGAAGTAGTGGAAGCTGGTACAATAACAACATTTAAAAGGCATCTGAATGGGTACATGAATAGGAAGGATTTAGAGGGATGTGGGCTAAATGCTGGCAAATGAGACTAGATTAATTTAGATATCTGGTCGGCATGAACGAGTTGGACCAAAGCATCTGTTTCCATGCTGTACAATTCTGTGACTCAATAAATTGAAGCAAATTGAGCTGAAGCTCAGACTTGAGGACATGAAGATGTATTGTAACCATATTGTACTTATTCTGTTTCAGGAGTCTGGGGAGTTGGGGTTGCTACCCAAAAAGCTAACCTTAATCAGATTCCATTTGGTCGGGATGCACAAAGTTTAGTGCTTAGGCACGATGGAGCCATTTATCACAATAACGAAGAACGAAACAGACTTCCAGCTAACAGTATTCCTCAGGAAGGAGATGTTGTGGTACATAAAGAATTTAGGATTTGCAGATTCTATTTATGGCTTTTGGTTTTCAATGGTTTCCTCAAAATTCTTTACTTTTAATGCATGTTTTGGATAATTCTCCCCGATATCACTACAGTTTCAAAGAAGTGGTAGTGAACTTGCATCCCCTTCTATACAAGAAGACTTCACCTCTCCTGTAACTTCAACCTTCAATCGAGACAATACTTTTGGTGACAAGGGTACCAAAACTGTCTGGCATCTAAGCTCTGGAATTCTCTTCACTAAATACCCACTCTCCTTCTAAGATGTTTCTTAAAATCTACTCTGATTAAATTTTTGGATACCTGATCCAAAATCTCTTATGTGGCAGTGCCACACTTCCTGATAGTGTTTCCATGGAGCAGCCCAGGAAGTTTTATTATTTTAGATACACAATGCAAGTGTAGGTTATTGGCCATGTTAAAACAGAATCTTAATTCATGCATCTGATCCATGGTTAAAATCCTGGAATTTCCTAGCTAACAGCACTGAGAGTTCACTTACTCATATGAATTGCAAAGATTCAAGAAAGCAGTTCATACTGTCTACTCAAGAGCAGTTAGGTTTGGGCAATATATGCCAACCTTTCCAGCAACGCTAACATTCCATGAACAATTTTAAAAACGGTCAGTAGGCCACCATAGTAGTGGCTTCCAGTTAATAAAGGGCAACATAATGATTACACATACAGTTACAAATTGAAGACAAATCAATGTTAATTTCAGGCAGCTATCTGGAAAGTTCTTTTAACTTCCCTTTGTTTGACAAAAATATAATGTTCATTCCATCATTGTAACTAATATCACAGTAACATTGTATCAGGCTGTGCTAAGTCACCCAATTACTAATACTAACTATGCTATCTGCCAAAAAAAAACAAGAAATGTGACCATGTAAATGTATTGCTGTTGGCTTTTTAAAACTTGGGCAATACTTTTTTTTTTTTAAGTACAGTGTACTGTGATAGTGAATTGATTGCTACACTAGGTGGTCACACTTTTACCCTAGATGTTTATAGCAAAATATGTTTCTTCTAAATTTCTTTCAGACTTTAACTCATCTCAAAGTGAAAGTTAATGTAATTTGTTTTATGCTGTCTTAATGTGAATAAAACAAGATGTTCTCTGAGATAACTTATTTCAGAGGTCATCAGCAGTTGAGGGAACAGGCATAGTGGATGAAGAGACTACAAGAGAAGCAGCCTTTGGAGCCAGCTCCACCATTCAGTAAGATTATGACTGCTCTGATTTTAACCTCAACTCTACATTGCCTCATATCCTTGATAATCTACCATTCCCTTGGTAATCAAGAATCCCCCGCCCTATCTTTCTACTTTGTAGCAGTTTAACGGAGCGGAGACACTTGCTCGGCTATTTCAGAGGTCAGTTAAGTCATTGCTGTGGATTTAGAGTCATGTGTAGGTCAGACCAAGTAAGGAAGGCAGATTTCTTTCCCTGAAGGACATTAAAAACCCCAAGTGGTTTACTAACGACAATTAGTATAGTTACATGGTTGTCACGAGGCTAGTTTTTAATTCCAGATTTTATCAAATTCAAATTTCACCAACTGCCGTGGTAGGTTTCAGACCCATGTCCACAGAACATTACTACTACGTCACCACTTCCCTAGATGTGCTGGACCTACCCTTGTAATTCTTGAACTAGGCAGGGAAAACATTTGTGTAGGTTTAATGTGCCTGATAGTTATCCAGTGCATCTTGCTTGCCCCTAGAAAGATACTAGGAATTTACCATCAAATGAATCATTGATGTAGAACCAGGATAATTTATATTCTGCTACACAGACTCAAACTTTTTTAGAAAGAAGTTTAAATCAGATTTTCAAGAAATATAAACTCACACATCTTTCAGGTCTCTTGTTTCAGTTATGAACTGGCTACAGATATATATTGTTACCAAATAGTCATTTGACCCAATTTTTCTGTATTGTATTTGTTATTCCATGAGTGATAGGTGTGGTAGTGAGGTAATTTGAAGGGATGCATAATTAAGGATACACAATCTTGAATTTTTCATTGAATTATTCTGTTGATGTATAGTTTATTTAGCTACAGAATTATAAAGTAATGTAAGTGGATTTAATTTTTTTCTCCAAAGGGACTCACTTATGATCACGTGGAACTGAACATTTATTTGAATGGAAAAAATATGCATTGTCCGGCATCTGGAATTAGGGGCACAGTGTATCCAGTTGTGTATGGTAAGTCAATTTATACACTGAACTTTAAGATTCTTATACTACATTTGTCTTTGAGCCACTCACACGAGTGTATCCTCAGGGACCACAAACAATGTTAAAATCTGTTTGCAATAGCATGTATTTGGCAGTGCAGAATTGATGTCCCAATTTATATCTACTAATAATGCAACTCTTTCCAAATAGAGGCCCATAAAACCTAATGAGAACAAACAGCAAGTATGTATAAATACAATATTGAATTGCTTATTCTTTGAGGGTCAGATTTACAGGTTCTAAGAGCCAGAGGTTCTGATACTCCTACAAAACGTACCTTGTTATTTATTTTGGTAAAAGAAATATTTGAAAGATCCAGAACTACAGCTAGCTACCCTCTTAGGCTGCCTTGTAGAGAAGAGGCTAGAGTTCAAGGCGACCATGGCTGGCATATTTTCTAGTATTATTTTGCACACTCAGAAGGGAAACTACAGATGACCTCAATTTTCTTGAACCCTCTGCATGGATTCAATCCCCATTGCCCCATTTCAAAAATACTGCTTACTCCTTTTCCTTCCCCTGTCATGATAAGGGCAAGTAATGTTTGTGCTTCTTGAGTACCAGGCAATGACCATCACCAACAAAAGAGAGTCCAATACTTGCCCCTTCATGTTCTGTGATATTACTATTGCTGTGGTTACAAGAAACGGTCAGAGGTTGAGTGTTCTGCGACAAGTAACTCACATAGCTCCTTAAAAGCCCTGCTCAACACCTTCAAGCTACATGACACAAGTGTAATTGAATTCTGTGTGCTTGGGTGAGTACAACTCCAAAAACACTAAGCTCAACACAATCAAGGAAAAGCCACCTGCTTAATGGGCACCCCAATTAACACTTCAACAATTCTTCACCCCCCCACCCCGGCCCCAACCATCACAGTGTAGCAGCAGTGTGTACTTTTGCAAGTTGCACTGCAACAACTGAACTATGTTGTATGTGGGTGTGTATTTTATAGAGGAAACATTGGTTCAAAGTGACTTACTGTATAGTTTTTTCTGTATACATAGAAACAAGGTACACTTCGCCCATTTGCCCCTGAAACAGATTATGCCAGGATCTTAGACCAGATTCAATTCAAAAACTCATACAGCAAAATACCTCATCCCTCTATCTTGGGATTTGCTTTTTAGTTCATTAACTTGAATTAGTAATTAAATAGGAAGCCAAGTCAGCAGGAACGATCATGGGGAAATTATTTATGCTCAAAGGAGGGGGTTTGGAAATCTGTAACCATGGACTACATGAAGCTGTAGTGGACTTTGCTTCAGTTTAAATAATGAAGACTATTTTCCCCCCTTGGTGAGTTGTTTGGAATTCTGTTTTAACGATAAAAGAATCTAAGTATTAGAATTGTAGAGGCCAAAAACTTAAATTGTTCAATGATAGTGCTGCTATTTCACAGCAGTACTAGGGGAGTTCTGAAGCACTAGGGGGTGCTAAGATTTACAATTGTTAGGTGAAATTGAGCTGGCATTGTGCTTTGTTTTCAGTTGTTGGATCAGTGTTCAACCAGCATGAAATGTATTTTTCATTTAATGTAAATGGTGTTTTAAACATTTCCCTGTTTCAGAAAGTATTCTATATTGATTGGATTTGAAATCAAAGTGTTTTAAAAACTGATTTATTTACCCTAGTGTTATCTTCTCCCTGTTACTAGTTCTAAGAGTACCGATTGCCCTGTGGTACTTTTGTTTCAAAAACAACACCCATGCAGTGTTGCCAAACTATTTCAGGTGTAATGCATGAAATAACATTACATTAAAAAATTCTTGATATAGTATAGGATTATATTATAACACTGTGCCGCATAGGACAGGCAGGACACAGCACATCAGGGTCCCATTGTTATTTGCATGGTAAGGCAAACAAGTTCAGCAGACAACATGAATTCTAAATTCATGCAGTTACTCAAATTACAGTGTGTGCTGGAAAATCCCATTAAGGTCTGATAGCTTTTGTGGAAAGAGAAATGGAGCTAACTGAGTCCAACTTGCTTCAATAGAGAAGCTCACAGATCCAATTGCTGACAACACATCCTTTAGCTGTCTGTTTTCCTCCATCAGATTCAAATTCACATAATACAAACTTGATTGCTTTCATATGTAATCTGATTGGAGTTGAGCTTACACATGCATCATTTCTGGTTGATCTGAAATTATATGTCAACCCATATTCTCCCTTAAAGCCAACATAATTTTCACACAAATTAATGCATTATTATGTAGTCTGAATTAGCCACTGGGCATTGAACGCTGATAGTGATTCTACACAGTCTCTAGTCATGTTTACAACCATTTTAGTTTTGAAATTGTGGCCTGCTGTAACAAAGCACCATTGTTTAAAGCTTGTGAACATTGCCTTATTATATCATGGCAAATTCCAGTGAGCAAATCAAAATAAATACAATCATTTTGATTGTCTAAAACACTGCTGCCTGTGTCTTGACTTGCATGAGGTCCCATTCCACTATCACCCCTATGGTTCTTGATCAAACAACACCTTGATTTTAAAATTCTGATTGTTTCAAACTTCACTGTGGCTATTTGTCTGTCCGTATCTCTGTAACCTCTTCCAGCTAAACACCTCCCCCTGCTCCCAATCGATACCTGCACTGCTGTAATTCTGGCCTCGTGTGCTTCCACATAATTGGTGGTTGTGCCTTCTGTTGCCTCAGCCCAGAGCTATGGAATTTCCCCTGTACAACTCACTCCCTCACTTTCTGCCTTTTACACTTAAAATCGACCCCTGGCTAAACTTTTAGTCATCTGACGTAATGTTTTTGCAGTTCAGTATCATACTATGTTTTATAACATGTCTGGGAAGCACCATGAATTCATTAAAGGCATGATACAAGTAAGAACTGTTAGTTTAATCTGTAAAAATTGGGTTGAGCAGTAAGTGACCAAATTAGATTACCTTATATTTTATATTCGATTTTTAAATTCCTGTCAAGAGTACCTGCATGTAGTTGTCTGACGGTTTTTCATCTTCTTTTCCAGTTGATGACAGTGCAATTTTGGATTGCCAGTTCAGTGAATTTTACAGCCCTCCGCCTCCTGGATTTGAAAAGATTTTGTTTGAACAGCAGATCTTCTGATTTTCACTGTGTATATACACTATATACACTCATGCCTAGACATATGTAACATGATTTTTGTTTTGTTTGCAGTTTTGAATGTTAGTTGTTCAAATTAGCAACACAGAATTCCAATTTATCATGCATTCATCTTTGTGTTGTTTGTTAATGGGAACAGCACTTTTTTTTAAAAAGTGAACAATGATGTATAAACATGATGTGCAGTAAATCTTAGCTCTTATGCATGTGGTTCTCCATGGAAGATAAAGAAAATTACAGCTATTTCTCCCAGTGGAATACAGCACAACGATCGCTGTACTTTCAAAGAACGAGAGATTACAGTACCAATGTAGCTGAAAATTATTGTACACATTTGATATGGTTTTAATCCTATGGCTCTATTTCTTGTCTTTAGTGCTTTCCTTTCATTACAGCATGTTCTTTCCTTAAACGTATTCTTCCCTGCAGTTGATTTATTTTCCCCGTGTAATTCTCTTGCTGTTACAGTCATCAGCTTTACAGATCATTGATCTTTCACTTTGCTGCTTCATTCTGTTGAATCGTTGTTGATAATGTCACAAGTACAGCATTGCACATAAATCATTTGCAAAGACACAACCAGAGTTCAGAATTTGAAGCCTATGTTATTTTGACACAAAACTAACCTGAAACCTATAATCAGACTGTCAACTGTTCAGAAGATAATTATCATCTAAACAAGAATAGTAGAACCCAAAAGCTTGGTCACATTTGGACTAGTTTCCCTCGTAGAAAGTACACCTGCTTTTTCAAAAGCAAAGTACAGCAGATTCTGGAAACACTAAGCAGATCAGATAAACAGATTTAGCTTTGAAGATAGATAATCCTTTATCATAACCAGAAGTAGTTATAGATAAATAAATCTTAAGCAAATACAAAACCAGGGAGGAGTGAGGGAGAAAAGAAACAAATGGAAGAGGTTTGTCTGTGTTAGAGTAGAGGAATGATTAAATTTATTTATTTAATTGGGTCATTGGTGCCTTATTAGCAGGATTATACTCTTTAGATGGAACTACTACATGTTATTAGAACATGAGTATGACTGACAATGGAGATTATCACTGTCACCTTTGACCACTGAGATTAAGGGTGCCTGTGCCAGGATTAAGCAATAGCAGGAAAATTAGAAAAGGAAGACATTCCTCTCAATTAATTTTAACTTTGACAAAAAAAAAACCTTTGTTGACTGTGATGTGGAAAATGGCTAGGTCAAATAACTTTAATCAGCTCCACCCTTACTTTCAAAGAACTTCCAAATTCAGCTTTGATGAATCATTAAAATCATGCAAAATCTTGATTCCTGGCACACTGTACATCCTAGGTCTAGATGTGAATTATGCAAAGTTTCTGTGAAATCATGTACTTTTTAAGAAACAAATCTCAGAAATGGCATGAATTGTATTTAGTCAAGAAGGCGATTGATCTTTGTAAAGTGTATTCTTTAATGTCTTTCGTAAAAATCAATTGTATAGATCTCTGGAGTATCCACAGAGATGTCATTAGTAACACCTTTATATCGCTAGTTGTGTAAAACCATTAATATTGTATAGTGGAAACACTATGGTTAGTTACATAAGCAAAATTAGACCCTGTGCATAATATTTGAGAGTTCAGTTTTCGAAAAAATTTTAGAAATTTGAAAGAGGGTTAGTATATTAGCATTATGACACTTCAGAGTGATCTAGAAACTGGCTATAATCAGAAGGTGGGGTTAGGAACCTAGAGAGTCAATATTTCTTTATTAAATCATTGAACAGTATTCCCAAGGTTCAGACAAGTTAAGGTTGCTTTTACGGGGATTTTACAGGGATTTAAACACTTCTTGAAGAACCATATCTTTGGTACTTCATAAACACAAAATTGAAAGGACTGTAGTTTTTAGTGGAACTGTGTAATGAACATTTTGATGGATTATCTTATTTCAGAGGCCATCATTATCATCACAGCTATCACTATAAAGGAATAATGGATTTTTATCCAAATACTGGAAACATGCCATTGAAACTGGTTGATTGCTAGTGATAGTCATTTTTCTGTTGTCTGTGTTTTTAAAGAGAAATTAAAGCATTGGGAAGGAAAGTGGTCAAGAAAAGTCAAGGATAATGCACTCCTTGCATCAGTAACCACCTCTTAGCCTCCAGATAGCTTCTTTCAAGCCCATGATGCAAACAACACCCTCCCTCACCAGATCTAAATTAAGTTTTCACTAGTTTACTTGAATGAATTGCTATCCTAGCACAATTTATCTAGTTCAGTTTATTATCTAGTATTCTTCTGAGCTATCTTCTCTCTCAACTGTAGAGATTGAGCTTTTATTCTACATGTCTAGAATGAGTATATTTTCCTTGCTCTTCCCTACTTAATCTAATATTTTTACATATCTTTGAAAAGTAGTTTACAGACCCTTACAAAGTACTCCAAAAAGATTCTGATGATTACATTGTACAAAACTTAGTGCAGCTCCAGTTGGTTAGTTTGATTATGTTCCCATGACCTATTTTATAACTATAAATTTTCCACATGTATATACTGCTAGGCTTCAAAATGTGGGGGACGGTTTTACATGTATGACTGCTGCCTGCTGACTTCTGCCTTAAATAAAATTCAAGTGGTTTATGAAGGACAGTAACTTGAACAGGTGTAAGAACACATAACTGAAGAGATAGGTTTTAAGCAGAATCTTGCAGTTGGGGGAGAAATGCAGATGACGACCTTGCAGGTAGCTTGAGTTAAAGTTTGGAAAAGAAATTTCAGGGGTATTAGCGTGTAGGAATAGTTTTTTGTTTAACATTGTAAACAAGTACTGTTGGAACAGAATTCTGTTTTTTCAATTGCTATCGACAGTTGAAGTCATTGTCACATTAAACTCAGAGCCAGAAGGGAATGTGAGTTCACTGTTTGTGTATTTCGTTTTGTTTGCTTTGTATTGCTCAAGCAAAGTGGCAAAACTGGTTTGTGCCAAGGATATGAAATATGTCAAGTCAGTGTGGTCAACACTAGAACAACAATACTAAAATGTACATTTAATTAAAGCTGCTGTTTGAAATGTACTGTTAATTTGTGACCGCTGGCACGTAATAAACATTGACATTTTGCCTGTTAGTTACTAAAATTGTAAAAAAATAGATTTTGGGATGTAAGTAAGTTGAATGCTATTTTGTAAAAATAAATTTTGGTTTTCCACTCTGAATTGTAACAAAATCTTTTGAGGTCAAACAGACCGTTTACGGGAATATAGTCTTTAAATTATCTATACAACTTCTGCTCAAGCTTTATCTACAGCTTTTACTGACCTTAGCATACGCAAGATGCTGCAACCAGGAATGGTCTTGCATGACCTTTGTTTTAGGGGAAGTATTCTAGCTGCAAGCATCTGGGGTTGATGTGATAGGCCTGAGTGACATGAATGGAGCAGAAATATTACTTTAGATTATTTGGTTTCTTTTCAGTTCTCCAATCTCAGAACTACCATTCCTGGCTTAAGCTAAAGATTTCACACTACTCAGTGCTCCTCTGAGATACTACAAGTACTAATTAATTCTGAAAAATTTTCTGGCTGACATAGGCACCTTACACAGAAGTGAAAAACACATACTACCAAATATCAAATTCATTTGGTAAAATCTATTCAGCAGAGAAGTATTAAAAATTTCAGTACTAGTTTTAATACACTGGTTAAATCATCTTCTGTCAATAAACGTGCTGTATAAATCTAATGTTAATTCAGTTTAAATGCCCCAAGATCCTGAACAAGAATGATATGAATAAAAAAAAAATTGACATTGAGAATTAGAGAAGACGACAAGGTTTGATTGAAAATACAGGTTATAAAAAAACATTTTAAAAGTGGAAAAAGTTTGAGATTTGAGGGGAGAATTCCAGAGCTTGGGCTTAAGGCAACAAATCTTGGCCACCACGAGCAAAGTGATAAAAATCCAGTAAGTGCAAGAAACAGAATTAAGGGAGCCCATTGGTCACAAAGGCCTTGTAGGGGTGAAACATGTTGCAAAGACAGAGCTTTTAATGAACACAAGTTTATGTAGGATGAAAAACAGGAAGTCAGTCAGGAGAGTTTTGGAATAACCAAGCCTAGAGGGTAACAAATGCATGGTAGAGAGTTTCAGTGGCAGATAATCTGTGAAGGGTTGGAGTATAGCAATATTTCAAGAGATGGAAGTAAGTAGTATTGGTGATGGTGTGGATATGTTGTTACATACTCAAGTTAAGGTCAAACACAATGCTAGTTGCAAATGGTTAGCTTAACTCAAGACACTTGCCAGGAATGAAAACAGACAAGGTTGTGGTAGGAACGAAAGACAACAGCTTAGTCTTCATAGATTCATACAGTATAGAAGAGGTCCTTTGGCTCATCGAGTTTGTACCACGAAAAGTGTACTACTACCTACACTAGTCCCACAGCTTTGAATGTTACGGTACTTGAAATTCTCATCCAATACTTTAAAAGTAGAGGTTGTCTGTCTCAAATTCCCTCCCAGGCAGTACATTCTAAATCCCGAGCGGTGGTAGGTAAGTTGTTGGAGGTGATATTGAAAGATAGGATTTACATGCATTTGGAGAGGCAAGGACCAATTAAAATAGTCAACATGGTTTGGAGGGATACGGGCCAAGAGCAGGCATGTGGGACTAGTTTAGTTTGGGATTTTGTTCGGCATGGACTGGCTGGACCGAAGGGTCTGTTTCTGTGCTGTATGACTGATTTGAGTGAGAATTTAGGGGACGTGGTTAATAAGTTTGTGGAAGATACCATAATTGGTGGTATAGTGGACAGTGCAAGTTATCGAAGATTACAAAGAGGTCTTGATTAATTGGATCAACAGGCTGAGGAATAGCAGCTGGTGTTTAATTTGGATAAATGCAAGGTAATGCATTTCAGTAAAAGAAGGGCAGTACTTAGAACAGAGAGACATCAGGTACATAATTCTTTGAATTTGCATCACATGTAGACAGGATAGTGAGGACGACATTTAGCACAGTTGCCTTCATTGCTCAGACCTTTGAGTATAGGAGTTGAGAGGTCATGTTGGCTGTGACGTTTTTCCACTGGAGCTTAGGATGTTCAGTGGTGACCTTATAGAGGTTTATAAAATCACGAGGGTCATGGATAAAATGAAATAGCAAGGGTTTATTTTAACCTAGGGTGAGGGAGTTCAAAACTTGGGAGAACATTAAGGGACATGAGGGGCAACTTTTTTTTTGTTTACATAGGTGTGGTTTGTATATGGAATAAAATGCAAGAGGAAGTATTGGATGCAGGTACAGTTGCAACATTTAAAAGACGTTTGGAGTGTTATGGGCCAAACACAGGCAAGTGGGACTAGTTTGGTTTGGGAACTTGGTTCGTACGGACTAGATAGACTGAAGGGTCTTTTCCCTCCGGGTGAAAAAGTTTTTCCTCAAATTCCTCTAAACCTCCTGCCTTTCACTTTAACATTATGCCTCCTTGGACTAAGGGGAACATCTGTTCTCTATTTACCCTGTCCATGCTCCTATATCTGATACACCTCTATCAGGTACTTCAAGATTATTCACTCCCAAACAAAACAGACTGATCGACATTTTTGAGAAGATTTGTAGTTCAGGTTATTGATGCAGTTATTGACTTGCTCACCAAGCTGGTAAGTTTGTTCGCAAATGTTTTGTCATCACACCAGTGCGACTGGGACAACTTAACTATCCTAGGACAAGCCAAGCAAAGCACTCGAGAATTCCTAGAGGCCTGGCACTCAAACCGGAACTCCATTAACAAACATGTAGAGCTGGACCCTATATACCAGCCACAAAGACACAAATCTGGAAGTGATGCCACCCATCCCAGCAAACCAAGACACATAAATAGCAAGTGAGACAGAACACCAACATTTCACCAGAGGTGCACTGATGATCTTGCCTAGTACGGTGATGAAATGTTTGCAAACAAACATGTCAGCTTGGTGAGCAAGTCAACTGCAAAACAGACTTAGCTTATTCAGCCTCTCTTCAGAGCTAAAATGCTCCTTTCTAGGCAACATCATGATGAATTTCCTTTGCAGCCCCTCCAATTCAAAGACATTCCTCCAAGAGAGTAGTGACCAGACAGACTGTGCTCCAGTTGTGTCCTAAGCAGAGTTCTGTACAATTCCACATGATCTCCCTGCTCTTATAATTTACGCCGCAACTGATAAAGGCAAGTGTCCTGTTTCCCACCTTATTTATCCCATTAACCTGTCCTGCCACCTTCAGGAATCTATGGTTAAGCACCCAAGATCTCTCTGCTCCTGAGCTTCTCTAGTGTGTTGCCATTCATTGATTTCCCTTGTCTTGTTCTTTCTTTCAAAGTGCATCAGCTCACATTTATCAGGGTTAAATTCCATTTCCCATTAATCTGCTCTATATCTTCCTGTGACCTAACATCTTCCTCCTCACCAACCACCACCTGGCTAATCTTTGTGTCATTTGCAAACTTATCATCCCCATGAGTATGACAAATAATAAGGTACCTAGCACCGATTCCTAATATTTAGTGGGAAGTTCTGTTCGTCCAATATTGTATGTTGGCAAGAATTTGACAGACTAGAGACAGTGGCGAGGTAGACCTGAATGTCATAGTACCACAAACTGACTAATCTAAAACTGCAACTTAAATGCCATGCTGAGCTTGTTATTCTTAGTAGTTTATATTGTATACAACAGAAATTAGTGTTGAAAAACATGTAATCCACAACTCATTTAATATCATAAAACTACAGAAATGTTGCAGTGCAGAAAGAGGTCACACAGTCTAACAAGTCTATGCTGGGTCTGAAAGTCTAGACTGGACTCTGCTCCCATCACAGTTTCTCATCGCAAATTCCATACCCTAGTGGTTTATTTTCAAAAATCTCAAATGCTTTCATTCCTGACAATCTCAAATTTCTGCTCCCAACTCAATATTCTGTGCCTTTCCTTAAATAATGTTTCCAGAAAATGCAAAGGAAGCAATGGAATCAAATTTGTTCAGAGAATATTGCTAAATCTACAGATATGATTATTCCGTCAATGATAAATGCAAACTGTACTTGCAGATAACTCAGTCCAGTTTTAGAGTTCATGAACATCAAATTAATATCACATATGTGTTGCACTGAGTTTTCAACCATGGTCGACATTACTCACCAGGGAAATAATGTCAAATTTCCTTAAGTAATACTTCATCATGTGGAATTAGTATGAATGCGTATCCCTCTGTTGGTTAGACTTTGTTAGTATAAATCTTGTTAGAAGGTATTATTAAAAAAGCTTTACGCAATTGTGATTTAGGGGGACAACAGGAGTCTGAAACGGGAGGTGATCGGGGAAGTGGTTCAGGACATTACATTCTTGATTGTGAAATAAGTTTACTTCCAGCATGCAATGTTAAGAAGAAAATAAAATAAACAAGTGCAATTTATTAAAGCATTAACTTGGAAATGAAAATCAGTAGAACCAAAATAATACAGCACTCTCTCAGCTGTGGAACTTAACCTGGTGACTTACTCGAAAACAATTATAGGAATACCAGCTCCTGTTGAGTGATTTACCCATCCTGCCAGTCTTTATGCAAACTTACTCAAAATAACTCAGCAGGCCATCCAATAACTACACAAATATTCCAGCAGTATTAGAGCTTGGTGATTGAGAAAGATTCGGAGGCGGAGGAGAAGGGACTTAAAATTTTGTCTGAGCATATCCACAGAGATTAGATAACTTGACAGAGCACAAATCAATTCTGCGACATTTCTAATCTCTGAACACTCAATAAATGTTTTAGTCCACCCAACCATCAGTGCCATCTATATATTCAATTGTGATAGTACTGACCCTTTCAGTTAAGAAAATATTCAATCTTACCTGAATGCAAATCTTCCCTTGTAGCCTGGAGTATAAATAAATCTTTTAAGAATTTAACTACCATAAAAATACATTGTAATGATCATGTTTCTAAATTTTAGATATTGTTCCCTTTTATTTATTTGCTTATAATAGTTCTTTGGCTGATAAACTAGAGTTTACAACAGTCCCTTTCACCCAATCTAATTTATAACTAAGTGAAATGCAGTAAAAATTTGTTTCAGTAGCCATCAAATCCTCTCATCTTTTGTAATTAGTTGCAAGTCTATTCAATTGACTCAGATGAATTTTCTGCTTAAGAATCATGTGAATTAAGATCCAACG